GCTGAAAACAAATGAAACAGAAGAACTTAAATCCTACAAATGATTTTAACTGAAAATATGAAGTAAATTGCTCTGGTTTTCAAAGATAGACTTTGGGGCAGTCAGTAAGTCCATCACAAGCAAGTTATTTTAAAGTTCTCCTTATACTTTGAACATCATTAGAGAAAAATGTCTACTTTTGGTCTCTATGGCCAAGGAGAAGGGACTGATGTAAAACACAGAAGACAGCATTGAGACAATCCTTTCTCCCTGATCCAGAATTTTATTCTGTGAGCATGTGGTATCCATATAATTTTAAATCCAATCCCTGCCAGCTGAAGTTAGTATAGAAAATATAAGTAAAGACTTGGCTACATGACAAAAATCATCTGGTGTTTCAAGAGGAACTTACAAAGGAGGCAAATCCGGGGCCAGTTCCTTGGGATTCAGCTGCTGAGCTGAGGGCTAAACATATATGCCAAAGACATCCCCTCCTTTTTTTGTATTTCATATTCTCTGCAATAGCACAATTAAATGTGTAAATAATTCTCATTATCATATTTTCTTGGGAGCCTTGTTGTTAAAGAACTGAGGTACAGCCATCTCTACTTCAAAAAATAATGCCTTGATCTTGATCTCCTAGGAGATAAAGTCATCACACTCTTTCTGCCACAGTGTGGAGAATGTGCCTCTTGCCTTAATTCTGAGGACAATTTTTGCAAACAATTCAAGTAAGTTTTTACTAATATGTTCTTTCTGAAAAATTAATTCAATTTCCTTGTAAGGAATTCAGGCTTTCTAATTCAAAATAAATTTTGTTTTGTTTTGTTTTTGTCTACAAAAGACAGTCAGAAACCAACTTGATGTCCGATGGTACCAGTAGGTTTACCTGCAAGGGAAAACTAGTGTATCACTTTGGGAATACAAGCACCTTCTCTGAATATACAGTGATAAATGAAATCTCAGTTGCCAAGGCTGATGCATTTGCACCTCTGGAGAAAGTATGCTTAATTAGCTGTGGTTTTTCCACTGGATTTGGTGCTGCAGTCAATACTGCCAAGGTGAGGAGCATTTATACTCAATATGAATAAAAATCTTGATATATGGAGTTAAAAGGCCTCATGCATCTGAGCCACATCTGATCATACAACTGAGAAAGAATCACAAACTTGAGTTCTTTACTATCTGTCTAGTCATTCTATACTCCCTTCAACATCTTTCCCAACCCCTCTTGGTTAATAGCATGTGGCAAATTAAGTCTATATGCCGTTCACAAGTGGAAACCTCAGAAATTCCTGGGAGTTAAACACAACACAATTACAAAATGACTATGTGTCCTTCCACATTCCAGTTCATTCTTTTTTTTTTCATTCCACAAACATTTATGGAGCCATCAGCTGTTCCAGATGCTGGGATTCAGCAGCTAAAAATACTCATCAAGCTTCTGTTCTGCTGTACAATATATCAAGTGGTGATAAGTGTCCATAAAAAGAAAAGTAGAGTAAAAAGACCAAGTGATGGAAAGGATGTTGCTATATAAGACAGACTGTAATCCCACTCCGGCTGAGTGGGTTACTGTCAAACTAGTCTTTCTGGATTATCACCCAAACCTGCCCAGCTCCCTTCTTTAATTGGCTGTTGAATTTTAGTTCTTTGTTTTTCCCAGTGTCCATTAGTCTTAATAGATACTATACAGAGAGAGAGGATAGAAGTCTCATTTTAAACCCATTAAAAAATAAGTCTTTGCCTTTGTAAGGCATTGGCATTGTAAGTAAAGCAAAGTTTACAGATATCCTAAAGAAAAGAGAAAGGAAATGTTGCAGGGAGGTGGAGGTGGTTATAAAGAACTCAGAAATATATTGAATTAAATAAACAATCTGTCAAATAAGTCTTAAGATACAATGAAAGTTCATTAAACTACTTCTACATACCCTAATTCCTTGAAATTCTATTTACAGGTTGTTTTTCCCTCCTCTGTCAAAAAGTATTTCATATCTAGAAATATCTTGAGAAGCTAAAATTCTCTAGTTACATGTTTTATTTGAAAATGTCCTTTGCTTATGTCTTCTAAAAATTATATATAAACATGGTCTTTTCAGATGAGTAAAGACACATGTTCCCTTTGCTCTTGTTTTTTGCCTTCATGTGTTCAGGTGACCCCAGGCTCCACCTGTGCAGTATTTGGCCTTGGAGGAGTCGGCATGTCTGCTATCATGGGCTGTAAAGTAGCAGGAGCAGCCAGGATAATTGGAGTGGACATCAATAAAGACAAATTTGAGAAGGCAAAGGAAGTGGGTGCCACTGAGTGCATCAACCCACAGGACTATGAGAAACCCATTCAAGAAGTTTTATTTGAGATGACAGGCGATGGTGTGGACTTTTGCTTCGAGGTCATTGGAAATCCAGAAACTGTGGTATGTGATCCTCAGTTGTGAAAATTACCAGTATTTCCACCAGTCATCATTTTAGATTTTAACTGAAAGAAAATTCTAAAATTTCCTCCACATTCTTCTATTTAATTTTCCTTGTGCCTCTGACTTCCCAGCCAGTAACCTCAGTCTACTCTCACAAATCTATTCACTATGCCAGACACCAAACTCCCATACTGAGTTTTCTTCTCCCTCTGTTTCATTATACCTTCAAATAAGCAGACCTCCAATAGGCAGGACAAAAAGACTTTGTAAAGAATCCTCACTGAACTATTTCATAACAAGTAGTTTGGTAACCATAACTTCCAAGCCAGAAGATTTAAGCAAGATAAGGGAAATATTGGATTAATGACCCTTTAAAGCACTGAGCTTTGTACTTTAAGCAAAGTCTTTCATGTTGGATCTGAGATAAGCTTCCAAGGAAAATATTTACCAACCTTGATTAAATGAGTTCATTTCAAAAATGAAGAAAAAGGTGGTTATTTTGCTGGCTGAATATGGTTTATGTAAGAGAATATAAATGCATAGGAAGTTGTTTCATAGCTTGAGATTTGCTTTCTTTGGGATTTGCAGAAATAACATATTATTGGGTTGCATGTCTCCATCTTCTAGTCAGCTCTTTGGAAACCCAAAAACTATCTCTTCCAATCTAGGTCCTTTCCTCAGCTTACCAAAATGTTTCCATTCTTACCACACATAAATTCCTTCTTTTGTAAAATGATACAACAAAATCTTTCCCACAGATAGGCTTGCTCTGAGATACAGCATTTGAAAATAACTAATGGGAACACATTTTATTTATAACTTTGCTAATACATAATGCTATACAAATACCCAACTATGCTCTTCAATATCTCAAAGAATATGTCAACTCTAACCACCAGTGTCAGTAACGGTTCTTACAAAAGTTACTGTTCTTGTTGTTGTTGTTGTTGTTGTTATTACTACTACTGCTACCATGGGTGCCTCTAGTATTTTCATTTTTTAATTACCATTTATTGCGTTCTAAATTGCCAGATACTATGCTAGGCAGCACACAATGTCTTATTTATGTTTTAGCACATTCTTATAAGATAAATGTTATTTCAATTGAGGACAGGGAGACTCAGAAAAGAAGGTCACAGACTATGCAGCAGTCAGGCTGAGATTCAAACTTAGGTCCAGTTCTCATGTACATCTTTTAACCCCTGCATTGTCTTGCATTGCTTTACAACAGGCAGCTGCCCTGGCCTCCTGCCATGAGAGCCATGGGGTCTGTGTGATTGTTGGGTTGACGATTGGTGACCAACTCAACATCAGTGGCCACTTGTTCCTCTCAGGACGTTCTTTAAAGGGATCTATTTTTGGAGGTATGAATGATGCAGGGGAGAGTGGAAATGTGTGGGGTTATAGAGGTGGGAGATAGAGAAATGTGTCGTAAATGCTTGAGAAGAAACATAAAACAAGAGCTTGACAGTTTTTGTGTGAACACATAAATATCCAAGGTAAAGGGATGAATATTGGATGTACACAGTTGCTTCTTGGTAAGCTTTTTCTCATCAAAGGAAGACAAATTTTTAATTGATTAGTGAAGAAAGAAGTGTCCGATGTTTAATGCAAATTCTAAATTGAAAAGGAAGGTCAATATTGTAATCAATAACTATATTTCAATTGAATTATATAACTGCCAACTGGGATTCTTTGGAGGATATACTGAAACCATTAGTAGTCATTGTTCAACTAAAGTGAATCTCATCTAAAACAACAGAGTTGGCATTATACAACTAAAGATATTAAACATAAGGGATACATGACTAAAAACTACTGATAAAAAGTAAAGGAGAATTATTTTTTCCAGAGGAAAAAAATTTTTTTCATAGACTTCCTTGATTTTCCATCTTTTAAACCTTAGAACTTGTATTTTTTAAAGACTTTTAGAAGAGTCTTTTATTGAGAAAGTAGAAAACAAACTAAATTAAATAAATCTGCTTAGGATTCTGGGCTCATAAGCAAGTAACTTGTTATTTAAGAAGATATCTTTTTATCCAGAGGCTTTGGGGCAATGTGAATTCTTGGGCAAAAGAGATGAGAATTAGGAGCTATCTGAATTATTTGGTCTGGTGAGCCATTTATGTTCCAAATTAGCTACGGTGGTGTATTGTTATAGATCTTAGGCATCTTACTCAATTCATTTATGTAGAGTAGATAAATGGTAGGACTAACAAAATAAAAAAGAAGAATACAATTTAAACTGTGATTTTTCAGTTCCTCTATTTGGGATAATTGCATACATCCATTGCTATTTCCCTCTATTGTATTTAGAGACAATAACTATTAATTCCAAATACACATACTCAGCTAACTCTTGTAAAATAAGATCACCAATATTTTAAATAAAGCTCACAAAGAAACTATTTCACTAGCCACATAAGCATTCATATAATGGTCATAAATGTAAATTAATTCCTTCTACAGATAGTATAATCCTCTAATGGTTTTCAATTAAAGCTAGCATCTAATGACAAGACTGCTAAATCTCCTACAATGTACACAATGAAGAACTTCCCCCAACTAAAAATTAGTGCCCTTGTTCAGAAACACTGCCTAGCCTAGTCTATGGTCCTGGCTCCTTCCTTTTCATGTTGCTTGTTTAAAAGAAGAAACACAAAACTAGTGAAAGTGTTCCTTACATAGACAGAAAAATGCTTACCAGATTAACAACTGAAAGATGAAAAGAGTGGATCTTAAAAGTTGTTAGCACAAGAAAAAAAAAATCATAACTATGTGTGGTGATGGATGTTAACTAAACTTAGTTTACTAGTAATCATTTCACAATACATACATATGTCAAGTCATGTTGTACACATAAAACTAATACAATGTTTTATATCAATTTTACCTCAATTTTTTAAAGGATAAAAACAAATAGAAAAATACACTGCCTTTCATGTCATAACATAGAGCACTAGTTCGAATTCTTGATGACATATATTAGAAATCAACTGACATAGAAAATAAATGTACTGGAAGAGAACCTGGCTGAGGATGCAACCAAGAAAAGCAAGTAACTGCCAAGATCCTGTCACAGAATAAGCTGCTTAGGACACTGTTGCCTCCTTGCAAAATTACACCACACTCACCCTTTGCAGAAACGAACGAGCCACCAAATTCTGTGAAGTGACTCATTGGGCATGTCACTTACCACAGTGCTAAATATAAGGACAATATTTCTTGAATATCACAAGAATAGATAAAATACAGTGCTAAGCTTACATTGTTTTAGCTAACTTCATCTTTCCCTGTGCAATTTTACTTCCTGAAGTCATATTTTATTCTTATCTTGTTTTATACACATTCATTTTCCAAGACCTGTCACTGAGATCAGTGCCATGATGAAAATTTCTCTCTTCCATTATGATATTTGGCTCTTTCATGAAGCTGCAGATCAAAACACACACACACATACACACACACACACACACACACACACACACACAGGAAGTGTCCTATTTCTAATTTTTGAATTGCTTCCTTTCATGGTTCCCAAGACCTTGGCCTTTGTTATACATTAGATACAGATTACACTTCCCCAGACAATGCAATCTAACACCAAGATCGCACATGTTCCACTTGCTTTAACTAAATTCTCCTCTGTAGAACCAGAGGTCTCCTTCAGAACAGCCTTCTATACAAGGTAGATGGCTAGGACAGCTATTCTCCTGATGACTCAGACCAGTTCATGGGAAATCCTTAGATTTCCTCAGTCAAAGCCAACACCTCCAGCAGTTACCTTGTATGGCCCTTTTTGTATAGTGGATCTGATGTATAAAATCTGTTGTAATTCATGTATTTCCAGGCTGGAAAAGCAGAAAGGATGTCCCTAAACTGGTTTCTGATTACATGGCAAAGAAGTATAACCTAGATCCACTAATTACCCATACTCTGAATCTTGATAAAATCAATGAAGCAGTTGAATTCATGAAAACCGGAAAATGGCAAGTTGCTCGCACAATTTTTATGTCTGAGTATTTGGGGTCAAAAGAAAGGGTGTGTGGAGATAGGTAGAGGCAGTGGAAGGAAAGTCATGGCTGGAGAAGCCACAGACAGGCAACTGAAGAAGGTTTCAGGACTTTGTAAAGCATCTCCTTTCCCTCCATATTTTGTCTTATTCCCAGTTTATAAAATACGTAACCTGAAAATATTTAAGTGATCACCTACCCCTACCATTAGCATTTTATTTCCAATTTGGCTTTTTTTCTTACATGCACATTAACTACTGAAATTAGCTCATAAAATTTTAGACCAAGTTTAAGTTCATAGTTTATAAAGAAGTAATTATTGTTTTTGTTGTTGTTGTTGTTGTAATTGTTATCTATCAATTATCTCTATGATTCCAAATCCTGGCACCTATCTTTGGCCCACAAATGAGACACCAGCCATAAACTAGGCATTGGTATTCCCCATAAGGGTGTAAGTCTGCTTACATATTCTTCACGCTTGGTGCTTCATGTTATTTGGAAAATCTTAAAACTGATTTAATCTGCCCACTTTTCATCTAACTTGAAGGGAAGGGAATCTATCTTACTTACTGGTGTACAAAGTGAAAATCTGAAATTCAAACCCCAAATGTTGCTTTGGAAACATTTCAACTTTTTTTTTCTTTTTAGTATCCGCTGTATCCTGCTACTTTAAGTACGATGTAATGTATGCAAGATCTGCAGCATATTTCACCAACGAAGTCACATCCTGTATAATTTCATGATTTAGAAGATTTATCTACACAATGCTGTTTCTATTTTCTTGCCTCTGATTCACTCAGCAGTGGGCTCACATCTACCTTCAACCCTCACCACTTCAAAATTGTTCTCATGTCACCCAGGAACATCTTCCTTATTAGAGCTGGATTAAGGTTGATTTGAATCCCTCAATTCTGCTGCTTTGAGCAAACAAAGTCATCCCAGGATCCTCCCATTTTCATAGCTGTCTCTATGTCTGGGCCCATGTTTCCTTGCACATTGTCTCTCCACCCCATCAAGCTCTGCCCCATTTCACACCAAAGAAACAAAACTCATCATTCATGAGCTTATTGAATATTCAAGTTGAAGCAAGCTGAGGAAAGGGGTCGGGGTGGGGGGTTCTTCATCAAATCAACTTAAATAAATCCCAGATGAACATTAAGAATTTCATGTTTCTGGCATTTTATCTTATATAACCCAGTCTCAAACTATCATTTGTCGTAACTCTAGAGCACTAACCTCTTCTCCCCTGGACTGGAAAAGGAACTTCAAATTCTCCCTCTATTGACCAGCCAGTTTAGCTTGCAACAGTTCATGTTACCTGACTTCATAACTAAGCCATCTAGGGATTCAGCAGGAAGAAAAGCAGCGAAGTCTTTTATTCATCAGGATCCATGCTCCCTCAGAGGCATGGATTTGAACAACATAACTGGCTTTTATTATACTTTCCACAGGAAGCAGGTAATTGTGAAGTCCCTTACTAATGTGCCCTATAGATTCTTTCCTCCAAGAAGTGGATAAGAGGAAGACAAGATCCAGTAGTGATTTGTGGCATCCAACTCCTCCACCCAGCCCCCCTGCCTCTGTGCCCAAGCCCCTCTTAATTCTCCCTGAACCAAGGTTACCCAGCCTTCTTGAGCTATGACTTCCTTCCCTATCCCTTAGACATGAGTCTCTTCCCACACCTCTCCCCCCACCATACACACAACAGGAACTCCCTTCCTAGTTATAGTCTCTTCTACTCCAGCTTGGGCTTCCCTAGATCTGAAGTCACTGGACCAGACAGGCACAACCACATGTCAGCAGGCCTTGGCAGTTCTTGGGAGACCAAAAACTGGAAGATTTTTTTTTAACCTAGATCCAATAGATTTAAGATTGGCCAGGAAGATGGCCTACATCCTTAGCCTCTGTCTCTCATCATGGCTATCACATGATATCAAGAAGTTCTCATGAGGCTCTGATCCCCAAACTGAGAAGCATCATCATGAGGAGGCATCCTGTCTTTCCTTCCAGGGTGTCTGCTTCCTGCAGATAAGGGGGATAGATGCTATCAAACCTATTCATTCTGGACTTTGGGTGCCTCTTATTCATCTTTCCACATCTGAGCTGGAACTTCCCTGTCCAACTCTTTTCTATTCCCTGAGGGCAGCTAATGTGTCCCCCTTCCCTGCCTTCCTAATTAAACATACAAACAATGAGAACTTGAAGTCTTCAGGTCTTAGGAAGTCTAAGTTTGCCCCAAAATGTTTTGCTGTAAACAGTGCCCACATTTTTTGCTTCCAGTAAAGCTCTATTCTTTAAGCTACTGTGAATATCTCCTTTTGTGGTAGCTCACTGAAAAGTTCTCTACAATCTGATCACACTGTTGCCCTATAAACTTCCTGTGAATAGACTCTGTGATCTCTGCCACTTCAGCCACATTTAAGTGTCTCGTTTTAATCACAAAGCAAAATCCTTCTTTCCACTCCAAGCACTACAATTCCCTGGACAGTCACTCACATGGGACAGTTTATGGCCTCTAGCAAGGCTTTTCTAATCCCCAGATCCACAGTAGGAGTCCAGCCTCCGTGGAGAACTAGAATCCACAGTTCTTGCCTGAATGATGAGAAACTAAGCATTTTCAGATTTTTACCTGTAAACAAGAATAATTACATCCTGGGTTATCACTCAAACAATAATAAAATAGTGTGTCCATACAATACAGAAGCCTTCTATTAACATGTGATGTTCATCCAGACACTCAATTACAGCACTATAAATACTTAATATTCCCTGATACTGGCCTATACTATAATTTCAAAAGGATTTTTAGCACTCCCACTTATTTCTCTCTAACATCATTCATATACCAGATGACCAACCACTAGAATGACTGACAGGATCCTGAAGAAGCTCACTAGGTTTTCTTTGCCTTTTTGATGACCTCTGTACATGGTGTTGGAGACACGGTACAGCTTAACATATGCTAATAATTAAAACACAATTTAATAACCATTATGGCAAGGAATATCCAATCAGTAAAAAGGAGGGAAAAAAATTAGTCTTTCCTGGAAGATTAGAGACAGCGTTGTAGAGAAGGTGACCTTGAACTGCATCTTGATGGAAGCATCAGATTTTGTCAGGTGGATAAAGAGTATTGAGACCCTAGATAACGGCATGAGCAGGAGTTCAAGGTGGAAAAAGACTATGGCCTGTCATGGTGATATGAGACGCAGTGGGAAGAGCTGTGCTCAGCCTAATAGTGAAGAGGAGGAAGGGCTTTAATTAAAGACTAGGTGTCATCACACAAGAGTTTCCAGGAAAAGGTTGGCATGTTTAAACCTGTGTTTCAGAAAAACATGACTTTGGCAGCATTGTGGAAGAGAGTGTGGAGAAAAAAGAGACTGGAAGTAGGAAAAGCAATTGAGGAGGTGTGAATTAAGGTGAGTCAGAGAAAAACCTTAGAACTAAAACCAATAAGTGTGACTACGTTTTACATGAAAGGTTCCTGTGGCTGCTGCCCTCAGTGCTGCATCCATATCCCTAGGACCTTACCACCTCCCTGTGTCCTGTTGGCTTCCAGTTGCCAGTGTCAGCATTCCCACACCTGAGGGCTTTTGCCAACAACAGAATGCTGTTCTGCCAACTCCTGATTAAGTAGGCCAGAAGTTCCAGAAAATTTGCATCCCCCAAGCAGTCTTCAACCAACAACTGACAGAAATTGCTATAAAATACACAATCCACAGAGTATCTCTAAAGGATTAAACTCCAGTTGCTCACTTTGGTAGCCGGCTTTAAAAATGCACTCTCTTGCACCTCTTGGGGAGTGATAGAAATGTTAGCTATCTTGATTGTGGTGGTGGTTTCATGGGTGTATACATCTATCAAAATTCATCAAATTGTACATCTGAAATATGTGTAGTTTATTGTGCAGGAACCATACAACAAAAAAGGTGTTAAAAATGCACTCTTACACCCATGTTCATAGCAGCATTATTCACAATGGTCAAAGGTGGAAGCAACCCACGTGTCCATCAAACAGATGAATGGATAAGTAAATCGTGGTATATACATACAATGGAACATTATGCAGTCTTAGGGAAGGAAATTCTTATACATGGGTGACAATATGGATGAACCTTTATGATGTTACGGTAAGTGAAATAAATCAGTCATACAAGTACAATTAATGAGTCATTCTAATTATATGAGGTACCTAGAATAGTCAAATTCATACAGACCAAAAGTATGATGGTGGTTGCCAGGGGCTGGGAAAAGGGAGGAATAAACAGTCAGTGTTGAAAGGATAGGGAGTTTTAGTTTTGAAGAGGTAAAAATTTCTAGATATAGATGGTGGTGATGGTCGCATAACAATGTGAATGTGCTTAATGACACTGAACTGTACAATTAAAAATGGCTAAAATGCAAATTTCATGTTATGTATATTTTATCACAATAAAAAAAATGCACTCTTTATTGGCAGCCTTTCCTTCCTCGTATCATGTTCCACACTTTCCTATTAGTGTCTCATTCATCTTTTTAACAGAACCAGTAGAAGTCTAGTTTTTGTCACAAGGTCTGCTTCTGGGGGAACCCAAATTAAGACAGTTGGTACCAGAAGTAGTCCTAGGGAGCAGACCCTAGGGATGAGATTCTGGAATTGGATCATTTGCTAAGATGGGAAAAGGACACCATTGTGAGTTGTAATCAGACAGACCCCAATGATCCCTACCTCCTGGTATTCATGCCCTTGTGTAATCTCCTCTCCTTAAATGTGAGCTGGACTTAATGACTTGATTTCCACAGCAGACATGATAAGACATCACTTCTGAAACTGAGTTCTAAAAAGACCATGGCTTCCATTATGGCAGCTTCTTTCTTGGATTGCTTGTTCTGGGAGAAGCCAGCTGGCACATCGTGAAGCAGCATAAGCCAGGGGCCTAAGCTTGGAAGTCAATCTTCTGAGCCCTGTCAATAGACGTGTAAGTGAAATTGGAAGAACATTCTTCCTGAGTCAAGCCTTGAAATGAGCAGCCCTGGTCAATACCTCAAATATACTTTTGTAAGAGATCCTGAACTAAACCACCCAGCTAAGCTGCTCCCAGATTCCTGACCCACAGAAACTTTGACAACACAAATGTTTTAAGCTGCTAAGCAATAGATAATTAATATGCAGATGGTAAGTAAGATAATAATCCTTTCCAGCATTATCCTATAACACAATTACCAGTTCACAATTGCCTGTGGTGAATTCAAATGGGATACAGATTGCAGGTTATGCACTGCGTTGTGCAACATCATTAGCATTTGAGACATAAGATGGCAGTTGTAATTATGGACTATGGATTTGGTTGTTTATTGCTGTTATCAATATGCTAAAAGAAAAAAAAATTATAGGCTTGAGTCACACAATGACCAACTAAGAGCATGACTGAAAACCACAAGACTTCTATGGCAGCATTTAAATGTTCCCTTATCTCCTGTAACTAGAGGACAAATTGGGCTGAAAATTAGACCCACAATTTGATTATGACATTATCCAAATTGCACAGAAGTTTTCATTTATAGACCCTCATGAATCTCTGACACTAAAATCAGGGTCATGATAGGAAAGGGGTGATATCTTGAAACTGAACTGGGAATATTTTAAGGACTTTGAACCCCAAATTCTCCTGAACCCTATGGGCCTAAAGAAATGTCCCACTCCCCCTTGCCACAGGATAGCAGCCTCTCCTCACTTGGAGACTACAAGGAGCCTTACTAAGGTGAATGCCTCATAAAATGAGGCCTACTTCCCTTAATATGTACCCCTACTTCTCCTCATGATTTCTAGGCCAACAAATACATTCAAATCTCAGCTTAACTAGGGAAGTAATTTACCAAAAAATCTACAGAATCTGGCTCACATGTACTAGCAGGAACTGGAAAAATATGTTGGAAATCAATCATGAACATGCTAGACTAGAGAATATAAGGAAGAGGTTGTTGAAATGGGGGCAATCTCCTGTAACTCAGGATTTAATCCCTAAGAAGGATGTCTGGAGTCAGCCCTGTGCTACTGAAATGGCTCCTCAAAGCTTGGAGGAAAAAACAATGGCCTACAACAAATGAGGTGGAGATGCCAGAAATGCTTTGGGAGAAGTCAAAAGGTTCAGAGAGGTGTGATGTCAGCATCATGACAGCATGAAACA